ATAACTCATTTTCAAATACTGCCGAATGTGCAACAGAAAAGCACAACTGCAGTGCTGATGCTGTTTGTAGCAATACCCAGGTACCGTACGACTGCACATGCAAAAATGGATATTGTGGTGATGGACAGACTTGCAAAGGCAAACTTGCTTTCTCTTTATCTATTTCCGTGAATATGTCTGTAACCTAATAAGGAAAGTTTAGAGGTATGATCGGAATTTCAGGGTTGTTTCGGGGCCTAAGTTAAAAACCGGGAAAACAAGAGTACGTCTCTCGTCATCCGACTTAAATGTTGTAACAGTTTCAGATAATTCATTCGGTCGATCACCTTTTGGATTTAACAGCCTCAATAATATTTAAAACCAGTTTGGTGCATCCTTAGATATTAACGAATGTGTTACGGAAGAGCAGAGATGCAGTGTTGATGCTGTGTGCAGTAATACCAAGGGATCGTACAATTGTTCATGCAAACCTGGATTTTTAGGGAACGGATCGACCTGCACAGGTAATGCCTTGAAATATACTAGAGGTTTAAATATACAGCGAAACTAATTGTCACACAGTTGTAGAGCTAACGCTGTGTGAAACAATATCAAGGGATCACACAACTGTCAATGTAAATCTGAATATTTTGGTGACGAATGAACCTGCACAGGTATTTCAATGGGATATTAAAGGATAATGTTATAGCCTCAAAGATTTTTGAGTGCTATTTTATTGAAGTAAATGCTACAGACTTTATGAAAAATAGAAGGTTATTCGATTATTCAGATCTCGACGAGTGTGCTACAGGAACACATAACTATAGTGCCGATGCTGAGTGCAACAATAGCAAGGGATCGTTCAACTGTACATGCAAACTTGGATATTCTGGAAATGTAGAGCTTGCCAAGGTAAATTGGCTATATTCTCAGTTTTATTAGTGATAGTGTTTCTAACTGAAATAATGAAGGGTAACCCATAGCTTAGCCGAGCTTGTGAGGAGATATCTGAGTCACATAGTGTAAATAATTGTATCAAGTTAAGAATTGTTTCTTTCGGTGTAAGTGGAGACTCGTTGTTCTAAGGAAGGACACGTAACATTTGAAAAGCTTCTTTTTACCCATGTGCAAGGGTGTTAAATTTTACCAGGGAAGTAGCCGGAAATCCTGGCAATACTATGTAGTATGATACTTCGTTTGACTAGGATCACATCATGGCATAGAAATCTGTGTGAGCCTCTGTAAGTATAATTCACACGGGCTGCCAAATGCCTATTCATTGAAAATTCTCTTGATCACCATGTTTAGTTTTACGAAAGTCCAAGTAAAAGTGGAATTGTCATTAAACAGTTTGGAAAGCTTTATTTTAATCAAATAATTTGAGTATATCAACAAAGTTGAAATGGTAAATTGGCCACTCTTACCATTATAAAAGCTGGCGTTTCGAACGTTAGCCCTTCCGACGAAGGGCTAACGCTTGAAACGGCAGCTTTTATTATCGTAACGCTGGCCAATTTACCATTTCAACTTTGTTGATATACTCAAATTATTTCGTTACCCCCACCGACGCAGCCCCAAACAGTTTCTTTAGAAACTAACAACCTTTATTCGTTGATTTCAATCAGCAAAGTTATTACTACCCCAGACTTATATGGTAACTGACGTCCTTACTAAGATTCCTGCTAAGGTACAATAAGGAAATATTCAAGAATGGAAGGATAAAATGTCGCGGGCTAAAGAGTCATGTAGATGGCTACATTTTTTTATTGTTAGTCTGTTGTTAATAAGTTTAGACAAATGCTACCGACAGCACAACACGATCAATTCATGACATGCATATTCAGATATCGACGAGTGTGCTATTGGAACACATGACTGCAACACTGATGCTGTGTGCATCAATACAAAGGGATCGTTCAACTGTACATGTAAACGTGGAAATTCTGGAGATGGAAGAACTTGCAAAGGTGAATTTGACTATATCTGCACCTGGATAAATAACGTCAGTATGGGTGTAACAAATTAATTTAGCCAAACCAACAAGGGAAGTGTTAAATAACAAAAATGTGTTTAAAATTATCAATAGACCATAGTTTTTACGAGGGATGTGATGGCCTGCTGTATGGTATACTGGACTTCGGATAAATAAGTCTGGTTATGAGTCTTGGCTGGCCTATTTTGCTATGTTCTTGAGAAAGTTAGTTACTCTGACATGGTCCTTTCTGCACTAAAGTCTGAAGGACCAACAACAATGTCGCCAAATTGCTAGAGAAGAGATAACTCTACAAAACTGAAATTCCATCATGCTGCATAAGTTTTGGGAGTCCCTTTGGATATTGGCCACTTGGGTGTGAAATTCGCTGAGTCAACCTGGCAACATCTAGCTTTAGCAAAACTTAAGATAAACTTAGAAAATTAGGGCTCCACACTTGCCGCTGTTGATGAATTGAGATACTGACCCTCAAAAAATATAGATATATTTTTTAAATTATGAGGCGAATTAAAATTAGAGTGAGGGTTTACCGAAAAAAGGCAAAAAAAAATTTTGCTCTCACCTCATTGAGAACCTCTTTAATAAGGATAGGAACACTCTAAAGAAAAGAAGCAGCATAAGTTATGAGGCGAATTAAAATTAGAGTGAGGGTTAACCGAAAAAAGGCAAAAAAAAATCTTGCTCTCACCTCATTGAGAACCTCTTTAATAAGGATAGGAACACTCTAAAGAAAAGAAGCAGCATGAGCCAGGACATGATTCTTTAAAGGTATAACATGAACTTAAACAAATATGTCTCTTAATTAGGTCCTGAGACTAGAGAATAATCACTATAGAAATATCCTTACATTTTTTTCTTAAAGGGAAGAGTTGTTGTTTCAATCATATTTAGAAATTTGGTTCAGTTCGTTTGGTTTGTTATGGGATGGTAGATACATTAGCTATCAGCTTTCAATTACACAAAGTAACTTATAAACACACGGCGGTTTTTGTGACTTTTTTCTTTTTTCTTTTTTTTTTTTTGCAGGATCAATTTCAAACTGCAACGAAGCCCATAACCTTAAATTGTAATTACAATAGTAGAGATTAAACGATCGAATTGATCTCACGACGAATCAATAACGTAATAAGGTATAACATCGTTTAATTTTAAATAGCTGTTGCTATCGTTGTCCTTATTGTTGTTGTTGTTTTATTACACTATTGAAAGCCCAATACAATTCCCAAAATATTGGATGCAGTTCACGATCTTCTCTTTTATAATTATCTTCTTTTTTTGTCTTTGTCTTATCTTTGATAAAATAAGTGATAGTGGCGTTGTTATGCTCCATATCGACTCTACACCAATTTCCGTTTTCTGTCACGTGGACGATTTCGGCTGTGGAGATGGAGCGTGGACCCAGGTTATAAAGATTGATGGCAGTAAGGTATTTATTTGTTTATTAAACTATATGATTGATTTCATTCTTTAGTTTCATTGACACAACTTGAAATATAAAAGGGCGATGTTATGGTTTGTAAATCGATCTTGAAAAACGTTACCTGAAAGATTCTAGTTCGTAATTTGACTTCGGTTATAACCTCACCCAAGGTCACCTATATTGGTTACCTGTCGTTTTCCACACCTGACTATGTTTCCGCTCCTTCCTCACTGCAACAGTATTTGTCGTCTTCATTTAAAGGAAAGAAAAATTCGGACAAAAATATCATGAGGCGTTTCTTTAAATATCACTGTTTTACACATTGTCAGATATTTGAGACAATATGGCGGAGGCGGTTCTCGTGTTACAAGCAAAATGGCGCCGAAATAGTATAAGAAAATGAATGGGAAACTATTGTTTTTCAAAATGGCTGTCTAAGAATGGGATATTCTTTCGCCGTAGCTGGAGGTGCAGCCGTGAAAGCGTCCATCGCTACGAAAAAGAAAAACTCAAATTCATGCCTACCTTTTCCCAAGGCATACAAGTAAACTCATAATTCTGACTCCATTTTCCCATACAAACTCTTAAAATCCGCTTTAACTAGGTGTTACAATTCTTTTGTCGTGGGAACAAACTTGTGAAGATTAGCAACTGCATAGCTCGATATGCATTCTGCAGAAGTGTGCTCAACTAAATCGCTTGTAAACCGTCGAATATGTTGGCCCACAAATTTTCCTTGAGCCGAGAGACTCTTTGTATTTTCACAGAGCTCAAAAGCCCAATACGCCATTTTTAAATACCCCAATTTTAGGAAGGAAGAACACGAAGGATACAAGTCACTTGTGACTGCACAATTTGGCTGCCATTTTCCTTGTTCTGACGTCTCCTTTGGCTTTCTGGGATTATAAGGTACCAGGCCTTTCTCTGGCGGGGTCTTCCGAAAATAGAAAGTTACGTGTTCACTTCACATCCACCGCCGCCATATTGAATTGTCTCTATTACGATTTACCGCTGACATTTCGTAACGGGCTCGAAATATCCCCGATTGATATTTTTCTCAGTTCATGAGCGGGCGGTATTCTACGAATCCTGCAATCTGATTTGTTTCGAGAGCGGGCAGTATTCTCCCCATCCGGCCCGCTCACAGCAGGCGGTATCCGTTTCGCTTGAGTCATTTTGCAGAGCATCTCAAGCTTCGTTGCAATTTTTCACAAATATATCTCATTTTGCCTAAAATTGATTTCGAAATAAATTTTGTGGTTCTAAATTTGTTTATAAAAAGATTGAAATGCGATCTAGTAACGATTTGTTATGTAATAATCCTTAAAAAAAAGTAGCTCTGAAAGTTAAAACGAGAGGCAGTTGCAGTTAACAATTACGTTAATTAATGCGATTCTCAATCGTTAATATCTGAATTCTTCAACACAATTTGTTCGTTTGTAAAACGTTGAGCGAAGTTTTGAGTTCTTCCACAAATACACTTTCGCCCATTCTTTGCAAGTCACTTGAATTTGGATATTCTTACCGTAAACTTTACAACAGTAACCGAAGGAATTCGATGAATAAAAGTCGCATTAAATCCCCCTGTGTCTAGCTGGAAAGAGTCTTACTGACTGCAGCTTTTCGGTGAAAGATAAAAACCGATTTACACACACCATTACAGAAAACAAACAAGCAGACTGACAATTCCAAAGGACACATTTGCTCTCACTTACAGTGACTTTCCGTGACATTTTAAAATGGAAAAGAGGTAAATCTTTGAAGATTAATTGTCGTTGGAAATAAACAATACTTTTCGTAAGATCTTCGAGTGTTTTTTTTTTTTTTTTACGATAAGATCGTCGCCAGTAGTCATTTAATTCGTGCGTGTTTGTCACACCAGTACCGTGTTGTTGATTCAAAGGCGTACGCTTTTTTCCTCTTCAATTGACAGGTATCACATCATAACAGTTACTTATCAAAAAATGTTTCAAAGTTTGCTTAAAGGCCTTTTAAGTTACCTTTACAAATAAAAATGTCCTGGTGAATGCTTTCTCTTTAACTTGGATAACGTCTGTTTTCTTCGTCATCCACTCGAGTTTATGGAGGATTTTCCCGAAATTAAACTCGTAATTGTAGCCCGAAATCGTTCGGGTTCTTATGGCCATCATTTTTCATGTGTTAAAAAAAATAAAAATGTTATTGACCAGCATAGGTCGGTCCGTATTGAGAAAAACTGTGCCCTCTGTCTTGAGTACCACCCGAGGCCGTAGCCCTCGGGCGGTATCCAAGACCTCGGGCACAGTTTTTCCCAATACGGACCTCCGGCTGGTCAATAACATATATTTTTGGTGATGTATATTAGACTTAAAAGCTGTACTAGAACTATTTATAGGTCAAGCTTAATGGAATTTTGAGGGTCACTTATTTCTGTCGTGATGAAGTTCTTGTTACGCAATTGTCAATTTGAACCGCTGGTTCCCAGCCTCTTAGCTCATCAGATTTAAAGAAAACTGTTGTGTTGTCATTAAGTCCATAGCGGCTTAAATGTGAATTCATTTGTCCCGGCCATGGTGGGTCGTCTGGACTTACTGAGTTCTTTGTTCGATGGAACATTTTTTCTCTTCCTCTCTAGCGAACTTTTCATTACGATTCTGGTTTTTGGAGCAACAACGTAGCGTATAACCTTCCTGGAGGAGAGACTGGGTTTGACACATTGGAGACCAAGTTACCGACCTACTGGAACACATCCTTCTCCAAGATCTGTCTTGGTATGACGATTAACGAACAGCTTAGGTTTATTGTCATCAACAGGCAAGCCAATTCGCTGTACTCATTGATCGCCGATGGACAATACTGCTCCACCTCATTGGGCCGTGATACGTGGAAGTCACTGATTGGTTCACAAGGCTCTTTACAGGCTCACTGTAATAAAGAGGGGTTCAACCTTGAACCGGAGGGTGCTTTCTGGAAGAATAAAGGTTGTAAAGCAAGGATCGGTATTCTCACCAACAACCAAAATAATTGCGGTGACGTTGAGTCCAGAATCGGGTTTGGAACAGGCGGGCCGCGCGATGACAACAACACGTGTGGAATCGATGCTACGGGGTTACCACTCGATAATGGCGAGAGACGCATCAAAGCCATGGGATATATCCTGGTGCAGTGACGAAAAAAAGGAGTAAACAAACTGGTAAACAATGTTTGCAGCGTCTCCTTCATCAACAACCACAACCAAATTTACCAGTTTAAAGATAACTAACTAAATGAACAGTGATCTTGAATTAAAAACTCACATTTGCACGAGAAGCTCCGTTTCTTTGTCAATTTCATATTTTTCGGACAATTTCTTTGCCTTGGACATCTATCAGCTTCCTGAAGTGATTTATATACAAAATATTCAGAACATAACTCCTCAGGAACTGAGGGTACATCACGGTATCTTGATCACATTTCCAAATGTACATACCAATAACCAGAGATTAACTGCGTCACGAAGGATAAGCATTAGACACGTATAAATCGCTGATTGGTTCACAAGACTCCTTACAGACTGATCATAATAAACAAGGGTTTTATCTTGATCCGGAGGGTGCCTTCTGGAAGAGCTTGTAAAGCAAGTATCAGTATTTTCACCAAAAACCAAAATAGTTGCGATGACATTGAGTCTAGAATCGGGTTTGGTACAGGAGGGCCGAGGGATAGCAACCAAACCTGTGGAATCAATGCTTCCAGATGAACCCCCGATAGCAAGGTGAGAAAGTCACGGGTTACATCTGGGTGCAGTAATGAGAGAAAAAGAAAACAAACTGGGATGAACAACATAGTTATCATCACTCTTGCCGAAATTAAACAACGAAAACATACGTTCTTATACACCGAATGCAAATATGGCGGACAACTCGGGTGGACAGGGCCGACTTGCGCTAAGTCGAGGCTAGTAAAGCCACGGCTTTTCCATGTTGTTTTGGTTTTCACAAATGGCTGCAAGTGTGCTAACCCAGGACGATATTCCGAGAGCTTCTCTCGCTGAAAGAGAGCATCAGGCCTTAAAATGCGAAGAACTTCGTTTTTGGCTCAAATGTAGAGGCGATTCATTAAAGGAGTTGAAAAAAAAGTAGCGCTAGTGAAGAGCTTAGGCGCAAGATCGCTTCGTGTTTCGCTATAACTTGTCAAAATATCACACCAATACGTGTGAAAAATCAGATTTTACGAGCTAAAAGTAGCTTTCTTTTCGCTCTTAAAAGGTCGAAGAATATATTAAAACTGGCCGAGACCAAAATACAGTTGATCCTGATCCTCTCAATGTGTATATGCTGTAGGTCAATTTTATCCTTGGTTCAGATTTCATTTTCCTTTGTTCTCGGTCATGTTAATGCATGATAATGAGTTTGAAACAAAGGAAAATAAAATTTGAACC